TTAATTTGTGACTAAACTGCTGGATTATCATTCTTACTTTTTGGATATCGTGTGACATAAGGATACTTAGAGTATTATGGTGAAATAATATTACCTAAAAGTTTTGTAATTTGCGTGGAATTTGAAGAAACTTGTAACAATTTGTGATTTTGATATAATCTCAACAGAATCTGCATGACATTAGTTCACTTAATTAACTAGTTTCAAAGCTGTCTTGATAAATCTACTCACTTCACAATATATTCTCTCACTCTATTTTGGTGGTGTTTAGTTCAGTATGATCACATACTCAGTAAAGCAACGCATGGATTTAAATCACTCACCTACTGTTCGAAAAATACCTTACTCTACATTTGATTACATTAAAGATATTGGAATCCTGAAAAGACATGTAAATATGTCTTAAATTGGGTCTTCTAAATGCTCAGTCTATTATAAATAAAACAGCTTGCATATTTGATTGCATTCTTGAATACAAATTTGATATACTATTGATAACTGAAACATGGTTATCTCAAGTAGGTGATGAGGCTAAATGTGTTGAAATTACACCGCCTGGATACACTTGTTTTCACTCTCCTCGACTCACTGGTAGAGGTGGGGCATAGCTGTTGTTTTCAATGACAAGCTTAAACTTAAAACTATAAAATCAGCAAAAACGTTTTCTTCATTTGAACACTTGACAGTAACTATAAAATCAACATCACAGACGTTAAAACTCGTTTGCATTTACAGACCACCCATTTCAGGTAGAAATCATTGCACTGATGCAGAATTTATTGATGACTTCTCTGGGCTATGTGAAGATCCTTACCACGATGAAAACACCCTTATTGTCGGGGATTTTAACGTACATTTTGACTCTCCGAACAATGTTCTCACTAAACGTGTCTGTGATCGTCTGAACATTTATGACCTTAAACAATTAATTACTTTGCCGACACACCGCTCTGGTCACACCCTTGATTGGGTTCTATGTCGAAATACTAATCTTGTACAAAACATTGATGTTGTCAACAACCTGATCTCTGACCATTCTCTGATATCTTTTAATGTTAACTTTCCAGAAACTGTGAAGCTAGCAAAAGCAATACAATATAGAAATTATAAATCCATAAATTTGGACAAATTTAATGAAGATCTTAACAAGAGTTCACTTTTCAATAACTTAACAGCTGATGATGTTGATGATATGGTTGATTTATATAACACAACCATTTCTGATCTTGTAGCAAAACATGCCCCGATTCGCACAAAGAACATTAGCCGTTCACTGAATACTCCATGGTACGATGAATCAGTACAAGACATCAAACAAAAGCGTCGACAAGCTGAACGGAAGTGGCACAAAACTGGACTGACTGTGCATAAACAAATTTATATGCAAAATTGTAGAGATTTTCAGAAATGTGTTTCAAATGCCAAATCACATTACTACTTCACAAATATATCCAACAGTGCTTCTAATCCAAAGGTGTTGTTCTCAACCCTAAATAAACTTCTGGTTACAGAAAATAAGGTGATTCTTCCTGTTGGAGAAGACAGTACTGTGGCCCAAGAGTTCAGCGATTATTTCATAGACAAAATAGCCAAGATTCGTGATGGTCTTGGTTCTTCGTCTATTAACCGTACTGAACAACCCATAGTCTCAACACAGTTCATTAATTTCCAATCTGTTCAGCCAGAGCAGCTCAAGAAAATAATTCTTTAGTCCAAACCTCACACTTCCTGTTGAGTATCCTTGATACTATTTTACCAGTTCTGGCTAAAATCGTCAATAAAAGTCTTCAATCGGGAACGGTACCACTTAGCTTCAAAACGGCAGTCGTTAAGCCTTTAATCAAGAAGTCATCGCTTGACCCGCAGCTGTTGAAAAACTACCACCCTGTATCTAATCTAACATTCCTCTCAAAGATTCTAGAGAAGGTTGTCAAGCAGCAATTAATTGACTCCTTTGACCAGTCCGTGCTCTTTGATGATTTTCAGTGAGCCTATCGCCCCGCACATAGCACTGAAACAGCTTTGGTTTGTGTCATCGACGCTTTAAAATCATCCGTCGATTCAGGAAGTGTCAGTGTACTAGCCCTTTTAGATTTGTCGGCTGCTTTCGACACAATCGACCATAGCAACCTACTTGACCGACTGAAGACTCATTACGGAATAGCTGGATCTTCTTTACAGTGGTTCAGCTCATATCTAACCAGTCGATATCAGTATGTTGACATTAATAACTCTTCGTCAAAGCAAGTCCAACTATCCTGCTTGGACCCCTTTTATTTACATTGTATACAAATTCCCTTGGAAACCTCATCGATAGTTATAACATTCAGCACCATTGTTATGCTGATGACACACAGCTGATCGATAAATTTGACCTCAACACTGTCAGCCAGCTCTCCACAATTGGTAATTTGGAAAGTTGCCTAAACGGTATTAAGAACTGGATGTCTCCCAACATGTTAAAGGATAACGACGACAAAACTGAGCTTCTCTTTATTGGACCTGATCACAGACTTAAAACTTGCATCGTGAAATCTCTCAAAATAGGAAAATCAGATATTCCGATATCAAATGTTGTGAAAAATCTTGGCGTGTTCTTAGATTCAAACCTCAGTTTTAACTGTCACATAAACAATATCTGCAAAATTTGCCATTTTCATCTTCGAAGAATAGGATCAATTCGTCATCTTATACCCGAAAGTGCAGCCGCTGCACTGGCTCGATCATTCGTGCTGTCCAGAATTGACTACTGCAATGCCGTACTTTCTGGAGTAACAGATGAACAAATTTCCAAGTTGCAAAGGATCTAAAATCGTGCTGCACGAATTGTGACTAAAGCCAGATCAAAATCACACATCACTCCCATCTTAAATATTCTTCACTGGCTCCGAGTGCGCGAGAGAGTTAACTTATACCCGAAAGTGCAGCCGCTGCACTGGCTCGATCATTCGTGCTGTCCAGAATTGACTACTGCAATGCCGTACTTTCTGGAGTAACAGATGAACAAATTTCCAAGTTGCAAAGGATCCAAAATCGTGCTGCACGAATTGTGACTAAAGCCAGATCAAAATCACACATCACTCCCATCTTAAATATTCTTCACTGGCTCCGAGTGCGCGAGAGAGTTAACTTTAAAATTTTAACTCTGACATACAAAACGTTACATAAAACGGCACCAAGATATCTTCAGAATCTCTTGTCACGCTACCAGCCAAAAAGGTCACTGAGATCCGAGAATAAATTATTGTTAGATTTACCGATTTATAAGATGAAGAAATTTGGTTCAAGGACTTTTCAGTATGATGCATCAATTCTATGGAATTCGCTACCACCTTCCATTCGAAAATGTAAAATACTGTCTATCTTCAAATCAAGTGTGAAAACCTGGCTGTTTAGTCACTATAATTAACCCACATGAACACTTTCATGCGCCTAGAGCATCCCCAAGTGGGATGAATTGTTGCGCAATATAAATTTCGTTATTATTTATTATTATTAGCTATAGCTACCCCGAAAATGTATATTTTGACACCAAACTTAATCCTTATGTAAAATTCGAATATTACCGTCAAAACTGAACGACATCTTGAATAACCCTCTCGTAATTATTGACTGAGCGGTAACGCTTGTCACAAAAATATGTATGAAAATGGATTCAGTTCCCCCGAAAACGTATATTTTGATACCAAACTCGATCATATTTTGATAATTGGGTGGAAATCGGAATTTACGAGCCAAAGCCGGCAGCCATTTTGGATTTTGGAACTAAAATGCCAGTAGGGATCATTAACAGCGGGGGGAAACTGGAGAAAAACACAAGAGGTTGGGCAGGCTACCCTACTTCACGTACAAAGTGGGAATTGAAACCACGCCACTTGCACCAATGACAGGCCTTATGATCTAATGCGCGCGTATTAGACAATTCGCCCCCACCCGACATTTGCATCAAATAACCAACCAAATGAAATGACCAGAGAATAACGTCCCATTTTCATATCAACCGGGCCAATAAAGACGGACATACGCCATACAGTGACAGCATCGTTTGTGTTTAACTCTTCATGCAATTCCAAATGCCCAGTTTTCTTTACCCCCTTTTTCTGTTCTCAAGAGGAAATGGAAGAAAAGGGGAAAAGCCGTTCACGTCGACATTATGTGCCAAAATGCACTATATATTATATGTCTCACATGCCCATAATTTTAATCAGTTTATGTTGAAAAACGCTGTCGGCACGCACAAAAACATTGAAGCAGGCGAAATACATGTCACTTGCAAGCTGTCAATCAAACCACGTGACATAAACAATTAGCCATGTGGCGTGAATTGGGGCACAGCGTACTGTTCAGTTTGAGTGAATTTACGCGACGGCTTTGTGTACTTAACGTTAAAAAAAACATAAATTCGTGTTTATAATATCCTAAAAACAGCCCATTTGATCACATTTTTGGCCAAAGGACGACGCGTGAACACAATACAGCAGTAAAGTTATGCCAAATCTGTATGCTTACTATAGAGCCCTGTGAGCGTGTTGAACCAACTATGTCACTTCCGGTTTGAATAAAAATTAATTTCTTACTTACAAAAACCTTTTTGCTTGTGTTACAGAGGGGATTATTTATCAATATATATTTAAGATTTATGGAAACCTTGTTGAAAATCGTTGGTCTTCCCCTTTAACCCACAATCTCGTGACCTAATCTTATTTATATCTCAGCGACCTTGACAAAAATTGAGCTGGCCTTAACTTTTAGATTTAGCCGCGTAGTCTGTTAACAGCTTGAAGCTTCGCCTTTATCGTGAACTCGCATAAAAAACCCACGCAACTCACTCCACCACCCTTCTGCCCAGTTGCTTAAAGCAAACTCGGCTCAACTCTATTTTCATCGCCAACATTTGACAAGTCTGACTCAGAATTATAATGAAATACATTTATATTTTCTATCTGGGTAAAACCAGAAGATCTGACAACCCATTTTGTCTTGAAATAAATCTAACACGGTTTATAATTTGCGTATTATTTTATTAACGTATCATTCATTTTATACGTATGCTTATTTCTTGCCTAGAAGTCCACTAGTTAGTCCACCAGTTAGTCCACCAGTTAGTCCCCCGGTAAGTCCACCTGTTATTCCACCAACACCACCCAGCATGCCACCTGAAATATATTAAATGTATATTATTATATAAATAGTGAGATTGTTAAACTTGCTGGACAACTGACTAGATATCAATTAATTGTAACCTGTCTCCTTATTGATGTGACGTAGTAAGGCAATTAAACTTTCTGGAATGATCTACTTATTATCATGTACATGTACAGAGAAGTTAGGGCCAACTATGCAAGTTCAGTAGAAAGGCTGAAGTCACCGGTTTGCCCATTTAGTTGAAATTAAAGTTATGGTCAATTGTGCAAGTTAAGTAGAAAGGCGTCGCTAAAAAGAAAAAAAATTAAGTGAACATACGTCACTGTGTTTCAATGATGTAAAACTTGTACATTTCTAATAGGTAACATTTACTTAAATTTGATCAAAATTGATTCTTGGCATAGTTGGTAATTGTTTAATACTCTTTATGATTTATTTATAGGTATCAATTTGATATTATTATTATATATTTTATGTTTTAGTATATTTTTATAATTCCATTTCCCTGATGGAAAGTACTCAATGGTTACTTTATATAATTTAAGAGGCAAATCAATACAAAGACTTTTAATTTTATGTGCAAAACATAGCCATTCTAGAACAGGGGACTACAAAAGTGGGTTTCGTACAAAAAATGCTCAAAGTTAGGACCAATTGTGCAAGTTAAGTAGAAAGGCTTAAGTCCCTGGGTTACCATATAGTTGAGATTAAAGCTGATAGACATTCTAAATTTACTTATATTCTTCTATGCAACGGGAAAAGTAAAACTATGAGGGAATATCTCTACAGGTATTTATTAAAGACCCTTTAGCTGAACATAAAATTGCTTTCCTTCTATAAACAACTGCTTTTTCACAGTATAACTAAATTCTCCTGTAATCCTTAACCAAATTATCGTCCGATATAATGTAAAACTGATGAGCACATAGCGAGTCATTTTAGTTAGGACAGCCTGAATATTGAAGTCTTATTTTATGTTTGGCCAATATCAAAGAGTTGTAGTTATTTTACGTTATACTTACCCAGATTAAGACCTCCAGATCCACCAAGATTTAGAGCACCATTAAGGTTTAGGTTCAGGAGGTTTTCAAGATCAATCATTGCTTGTATTCCCAAAAGATTAACTTCTATGCCATTGCTCTGAGCCTCATTTATAGCGTTAACCATTGCCACAAAACTAACATTTTGTTCATTAACAGACAACATACCGTCACCTGTAAGATATATGTACATAAATCATATTATCTCGAGAACATACCCCCTCTCTCTCTCTCTCTCTCGAGGTGAAAATATCAAACATTAAACGTCAATGTAATTCAATTTGGTTAAAACTCTTACCGTCAGCATCAAAGTCTGCTATAATCTCCAATGCAAGGTCTGTCTCTATGTCAAGAGCCAAAGCTAATTGCGCAGCCGAAATCATATTCGTCTGAGCTTCAGTATTTTGAGCCAGAACCATGGCCAGGGTTATTACCAATAATGAAAACATCCTGTAATAGAATATGTAAGCCACGTCAACTCCTCAAACGAGAACTGGTATCAAGTATAATGGACAGAATAGGAATACCTTGTATCGTGTACAAAACTCGTCACTAATTGTAACTAAGTAGAGCGATAGTTTGAAGCTAGATTTACATAACATAAACAATTTTAAAATGTATTTAACGGTAATTTATCTATATAATATTCAATCTTACCTGTTGATTGTAGATTTGTATACAATGGGGATACTGTTCTATGTTGTATTCTGTGCCCACATTTATAGTAAATCAAGTGATAAACAATATAATTACCTATCTGTAGATTTCACATATCAAATCAGGAAACAACACCTATCACTAACGATTACGTTGATTAAAATAAGAGATTAGATCATTCTATGTTAATAAATTGTTGCAATTGAATGAGGAAGTCGAGGTGACAATAATAATGGATAACATTTAAGTTTTCACTTTCAAATAAAAGATTAAATCATTATCTCATGAATATCTCATGTTTTAATGGTTTTGTTGGATATCTATATTATTATCAAATATATGACCAACACTATAATGAGGAAGTTTGATTATATTGTGTAAAATAAGATTCGTTATCTAGATCTTGTCAAGTAAACCAAATTGATTTCCTTATTTGAAACATGTGTTACATTTAATGGAATGGAAATTATAGATACGCAATAAACATACGTGTAATAGAAAGGGAAGGGATTTAAAGTATCTTTCGGAAATATGAGACTGACACATGGTTGTTTTTTGTGGTCCATCTCTATGCAATGACATTATGTATGAATAATCCCAAGACAGACGAAAAGTAATTTAAAATGTTAAAATGTTATTAAACCAGTGTCGAAATCGGTTTTTGTCGGCATACCTTTCATCATTTCATCGTTTACGGTAAAAGAAAGCAACGCAGCTTTACGGTTACATACAGACTAACGTGTACGCACGACTATACGCTGTTATAAGGTGCAAAATGTATATGTTATTTGAAATGACATGAAATGAAATGGGATTTAACGTCCTACTGTGCTGCTCCGACTGGGATAAAGAAGACGGGTATACGCCATACAGTGTATAAGAGGGACGTTTTGCCAAATGCGTTGTCATTTGCCAAATTTTATATACGGTGCAGCACTGAACGGACCGGAGTAGATCTAATTCCTTCATACTATACACAGGGAATCGAGTGTGATGTCATCGCAGCCATCTTCCAATGGTGTCAGGATATCAAAAACCGAAATCCTCCAATCGATGCACTATTGTCCAAGGAACAAGCATGTCAAGTTTCACGTCGATCGTATTCGACTTGGCGGAGTCTTGGGCTTTTTCTGAGGGCGTCGCACCCCCCCCCCCCCCTCCCAAAAAAAAAAAAATAATAAAAAAAACCGACAATAACAAGATGAATAGCGCATGGTGTAAAGAAAGACAAAATCAAGATTTTATACAAATATTTGAGTATCATCTACAAGACAATGGAAAAGCGTGAAACAGCATGATAAATCAATTTCCGGTTACGTAACTGATTCGATTTCGCGTGATTGTCATGCATAGGGAACAACGCAAAACCGTGTACCGAGTCAAGCCGCTACAGTTGAATATTGCACGGAAATGTATTTACTATACATCTGTGCTTGTTATTGTGCCAAGTAATTCATCACTTTAAACTGGGGTGTTCATGAAACAGGAAGTATAATATTATATGTCAATTGATTTATCACAGTTCTTCCTAAAATTAATTTAAAACAAGGAAGCCAATTTAGATTACTGCTGTACAATTTATAGGGGGCCGACGGGGCTCAGTGAGTAAGACGTTGGCTAAACTGTCGATCCAGTGTTCGATCCCGGTGTTGACTGGGTCAGTTCATCACGAACTGTTTACTGTTTCCCACCCGTAAAGGAACTCATATTAGTTGAAATTCGAAAGAAAGAGTAGGCCGTAGCGCCACTTTCCGTGCAAAGTTTCCCTCATAGCACACTGTACGTCGTATGTCCATCTTCATTAGCCCCTTTGGTGCAGAAAGGTAGGGCGTTAAACCCCATTTCATTTCATTTTATTAAAATATTTTAATTTAATTTTGGATGTGTTAATGTGATGTGCATTTCACCCATGGATAGCACACTGCACGGCGTACGTAAGTCTTCATTAGCCCCTTTGGTGCAGAAAAGTACGACGTTAAACCCCATTTCATTTTAGGTCCAAGAGATTTTAATTTAATTTTGGATGTGTTATGTTATGATGTCATGTAATTGTTCTGAATCACGTATCTCAACAGCTAATATTAATGTCCCATTGCGTCGTTTCAGCCAGGCGCTGATTTAAGGGGTCCCCACAACCCAACAACCCTAAAGATCAAGTAAGCGACCCGTGGGACAAAGTCCTCTAAGTTCCATATCAGAGAAATTGTCATCATTCTTCCCTCGTCTGCCATATACCTCATCACTATATTCAAGGTTACATTGAACCGTTAGTAGTGCTATTAGTGAGGGGGTCGTGGGTCGACTGACTGTACACATGTTTTGTCAACTCTCACAAAACAGGCGAAATTGACAGACAAGCCTCGAGATTCTGTCCAATTTCTTTTTCTCTCGTTTACGAGATTTTATTCCCATTTGCCATGACACTGGCTAACATTAAACAATTAAAAACTCAGTTACATATTACACGTTGCGACCTTCCATACCATTATGACATCATTCTTCTTCTCCTCTGTGTTCTTATACTATCTCTCAGCACTATCATATTCGCGGTTATAGTGAAGCGGCCATTTAATAGTAACGCTAGTGCGGGGGTCGTGGGCGACGGACTATCATAATATAGTTTAATTTTATTTCAATAATTCGTTTGCATCTAGGCGTCTTTAGCATGTATGTATCAAGTGGACGTTAAACCTCATTTCTCATTTCTCTTTTTACTGAATTGTTTGCCTGTGTCTTTTAAAGTAGGATGTTTTATTGAATAAGAATATCAGATTTTAATTTCACAAAATAACCTTGGTGAAATCCATGGACCAAACGGAATACTACTGTGTCCTAGTTAAGCTCATTGGTCAACTTAGGTCTAATATCCCCTCTAGTAAATATTTTAAATAATATTTTGATAAAATAAAATATCTAATTGAAAGGGAAGGGATTTAAAGTATCTTTCGGAAATATGAGACTAACACATGGGTAATGTTTGTGGTCACGTGATCATTGTTAGGGATTCGAGAATATCTGCCGTTTGGCTTTCAAGAGAGAGAAACTGGGTTTAAAATCCACCAAACATCTAACACCAACAGATGCACACGCCTCTGCAGCTGACAGCCAGTAGGCCTATGGGAGAGAGAGAGAGAGAGAGAGAGAGAGATGGGGTTTAACGTCCACTCGACACAAACTAGGTCATTTCGGGACTAACATATGGTTTAATTTTTTTAGTTCAATAATTCGCTTGCGCGTAGGGGTCTTTAGCAGTGGGAGGAAACCGGAGGACCCGGAGAAAACCCACGAGGTTGGACAGGCGACCCTACTCCTTGTCACGTACAACCGGGGAATCGAAACCCATCCAGTTGACTCAATGACAGGTATGATACAGCGCTCGCGTGCTAACCATTCGGTCATCTAACCCCCCAAGAGAGAGAGTAACGCGCACTTGACACAAACTATGATATTTCGGGACTACAAATTCTTGGGTTTCAATTATGTGGAACATTTGGTAAAATTACTAGTAGTCTGGTGCTAGTGTAATATATAGTATAGTCTGAAATGATTAAAGTCTGTGTCACGTGATACAATAGTAGTGTAGTGGCTAGTGTAATATATAGTACAGTCTGAAATGATTAAAATCTGTGTTTGATACAATATAGTAGTCTGGTGGCTAGATAGTACAGTCTGAAATAATTAAATCTGTGTCATGCAACACAATTAGGAGTTTGGACAAACTGTGTGATTTGGCGTTTTATTACAACTAAAACCATTCAAACCGGGATCGTCCCGTTATGCCCCCTCCACCCCCGCTATTGTTCTCATGGTAGGAGTAGTAGAGCATGGAGATTATTAAATACTAAAGGGATTAAAACTACAGCCCGCTTCACAAAAATGTGGTTTACAATACATGAGGATACATGAGTGGTTTGGAACTTGACGATAGACCGAGGTCCCGTGTACACATTGGGTGCACGTAAAAGATCCCTTGGCAGTTAAAATTCGATATAAGAGTAGGTTGTAGCACCGCCGTCCGGGCAAAATGGCCCTCATAGCACACTATATGGCGTATGCCCGTCTCCTTTATGCCAGTCGGGGCAGAACAATAGGACAATATACCCCATTTCATTTCATTTCTCTGGATTTTCCAGTCTGGTTTCCTAAGACGGAGGGCTTCGCAAGGAAAAGGCGTCCAGTCGTTCGGATGGTACGAAAACCCGCGGTTCACCCGTGTACATGTTTGGATGCACGTTAAAGAAGCCTAGACAAGAAGACCGACTTAAATCATTTCAACAATTCACGATAAATAATAGTTAACACTGCAGAACAGAACAGATTAGACAGATAATACCTTCACTTGCAGGTAAATTACACGTACATTGCATTCCTGCACGTTATATACATCAACTATTGATATATAGGTTTATTTTACTACAACTCACGTTCAACTATAGATATATAGGTTTATTTAACTCGAATAACCCACGTTTAACTATTGGGATACAGGTTTATCTAACTAAAATCTGCTAGATGCGAGAATTTACCCCCTCATCTATTTCCCTCTTAAAATAAACAACAACCCAACTAATAATCAATAATTTAAAGCTAAAACCAAGAAACAAATTGTGCAAGGTTTGTTTTCAGATATCGCATCGTACCAACCCTTTCCAAGCAAGTAAAACTATCAACATTTTGTTATTTATTTATTGTTTTGTTAATCGGATACATGAGTCGGTCAGACGAACAGGTCGCGATAAATAAACATCACAAAGAACTGGGAATGATTTTATGGACAAAGTAGAAGTCGCTAAATATTCCAGGAATTCCTTCAATATAGAAAATCCACAAGTCTATTTGTCTGCCATTCTTTAATATGACATCATATTGATTGTACTTCTGTTAAATCAACTGGATATAAAACGGTGGGAGATTTTGTAAACATTTCCTGAATGGCGAGTTGTTGAGTTCGACGGAGATCTGTTTAGGAATGTGGACTGATAGGTGAATGTTTAGCAACCCGACATTATCAAAATATTATTTAAAATATTTACTAGAGGCGATATTAGGCCTAAGTTGACCAATGAGCTTAACTAGGACACAGTAGTATTCCGTTTGGTCCATGGATTTCACCAAGGTTATTTTGTGAAATTAAAATCTGATATTCTTATTCAATAA